TTATTTATTCAAACAGGGCTGTGCTGTGTGAGCACGTGGGGAAGAGAAAGTAAAACTTAGCTCAGCTTTTGCTCCCTTGGGATTTCTGCAGGCTTTCAGACTCACTGAGGTCAAGGCAGGGTCTGAGCCTGGAGCGCAGCGGCTCTTCAGAACAGCTCTGTGCAGCCCTGCTCTGCTAGGCGGTGTGCGAAACGCAGGTGTGGGTTTTGGAGAAATCAGTTTAATAAGGGAGCTGTAGCTCTTCTTCTCCCCCCCAATAGATTTAAAATAATCTCGCTGTCCATAAAAATCAGGTTAGCTATTTTGGGTTCATGTAGAGCTAAAATGAATGCAGCATCTCTCATTTCTAGTCATGATAAGTCACTAGATATCAATTCTTAATTGCTTGATGAATCTTGAATTTTCAGAGCTGACACTGCCTTTCCTACCTCCAGAGAAAAGCTACATATAAAAGAAAGAAGAAAACACTTTCCTCTTGATTAGAAACAAAAAACAAACACCAACCTCACAAGGTAAGTGCATGAAATGAGAGAGGTTTGTGGCGTGTTGTCCTGAGACAGCCATTAGGCAAAGTGTGAGTGAAGCAGCCAGAGGTCCCCGAGATACGGGGGTGGACTCATTTCATTGTATGCTTCAGCAGTTAATTACAGGACAACCTCAAATTAGTGCACTTGTGTTTGCTTGTGTGTGTTAGGCCATGGTATTCATTTTAATAAATGAGTAGAGAGGTTTCCTTCACGGAGATCATTACATTTCTACGTATAGAAATGCTATTTAAGGTCAACAAATACAGGAGATGATGCCTTTGTATGCTTTGTGTATGCTTGGACTGATAATTATCACTGCAGTGCCTCCCTAAGGGTGTTGTTAAAAAAATACAGACCCAGAAAGGAAAGGAAAGATGTTCAAACTCATTTTAGAACATTTATAACATTGTCTGGGCTTTTTTTTTTTTTTAAATCACTGTGTGTGTGGCACATTCAGGATGAACAGCACTGTGGTGCATCAGCCCTTGCTTGGCCACACTATGCTGCAGGTCTCCTATTTTGTGGACAACGTGATATAAAGGTGGCATGGTGGCATGGGTGCAAGCTCGGACTGGCTTTCCTACTGTGTTAGAAAAGGAGGTACTTTGATCTCCTTGCTCTAATTAAGGAATAATAAAAGGCTCTGATTTTTTTATTAGTTTTTTCATCTCAATTAGCTGCCATCTATGGATGCTACAGACTTCTTGGAAGGGGTTGGTGCTGTCTGGGACAGCTCCTGAAAGGTCTGTGTGATCCAAGAAAATGTCATGACGACAACACTAAACAAAGGAGTGCTGTCATTGTTGTCATTACCGGATGATGAACCGGGGACACGTCCAGAAAATCACAGTGGTGTAAAGGAAACGTTGTGAGGATACAGTCACCCCTTAGATCCCTTTGAGTGCAGCACTCCCTCCATGGCTAACTGATGGAACCAAGCATGGTTCTTTTGGTCTACAGCAGTGCTGTAGAGAAAGTTTCCTCCATGCACAGGGTTGAGACCTCCTGCTCTGAAAATGTTGCAGTTAGCAAGCAGTTAGACAGTCAGAAGCGAGACATCCCCAAGGCACGCTGTCCCCATCTAATGCCTTCCCACAGTCACTCCTTCTTGATCGTCTTCCATGAATCGGGTGATGGGAGCTCCTCTGGGATGCTGTCATGCACATTTGCAGATTAAGACTTCCTTTGCTTAATTTCATTTACACTGATATCGTTAACACTCCTTCAGACAACCCTAAGCAGTCTTTTTCGCTCCCTGGTGCTTCTGCACCCCTGAAGTTCGCACACACAATTCCCATGATGCTCTTCACAGTTGTTATTTGGCCAACCTACACACACTGTAATCCCTTCCAGCTTTTTTATCATTTTATGTTCTTTTTTTTTATTCTTTATTTCCCTTCAAGTCGTTGACATCTAGCTTGTACTGAGCTGTCCAGATCTAAACATGTCTTCAAACTGTGGTCTCACTGCTATATTAAAAAATGGGACTATTGCCTATATCTCTGAGAAGAGGTCTCTGCCTTTACAACCCCAAATTAAATTAACTGCATGATTTTTGCTGCCATATAACATTGCAAAAACATATTAAATCTGCTGTCTGCTGTCTCCCTGAGGTCTTCTGGTATTTCTGCTTTCAGTACTTGAGCACAAATGATTCCTCTCTTCACCTCAGTTCCTGCCTTTCAGAAGCTCACATGTTGTACCTCTGCCTCTCAGACATGTGGGATTGCTCAGAGTTCCTCTTTGAGGAACAATGGTGTGACTCCTTATGTAGGAGCAAATGCTCTGTGTTTTCACATGAAATAGTTTATTTCCACTGTCTCCTCCAAGCTGTCCTATGACGGTCTGTTTCAATGCAATCAGTAGATACGTTCCTCCTTTTGATTTCCAGATATTCCTATTTATAGCTGTGTAGAGCACTGCCCTGTATGTTAATAATCAACCTCCAAGTGCTGGAGCCTTAGGACCACAGGTTGAAACTCCTTTTCTGGAAGAAGAGAAATGCTCTTCTCTTTTTTCAGATGTTTCTGTCCCAGATGTCAAGAATACAGATTAGCTTTTCTTTGGATGGGTAGAACACATTTTAACATTCCTTTGTGCAAGAGACATCTTTCTATGGGTGCCTCAACACTCTGAAATTAACTTCCCTGGGAAATAAAGTCTAGCACAGAAATTGCCATCGTCCTCTTTTTCCCTGGTATGAAACAGAGCAACAAGAATGGAGGAGAAAAAAAAACAACCCAAACCAAAACAACTCACAAAACCAAAGCACTGCCCTGCACATCATTTTCTTCCTGGGGAGAGAACCAGACAAAACCAAGCCCCACGTGTGACAGATGTTACTTGGATCAGTTAATGTAGTCCTAGACCGTACTTGAATATTACGATTATGAAAACAGCATAAGAATCGATACACAAAATACATTTTATCATATTCTATTTCATAGATAAGAGAATCTGGAAGAATCAGTTGGAGAAGGCGAGACAGTGTTGTTGTTGTAGCTGTGATGGTCTGAAGATCCCAGGGAAGCCAGGTTTGTGGAGAAAGGTAATATCTTTTATTAGATTAGCTGATATGGCTGGAAAAAGCAAACAAGCTACTGGGCTCAGGGTCTCTTTATCAGATCTGACAGAAAGCAGCAAAATTCAGGCTAACTACAGGCTAGATGCAATTGTTCTTAGTTTAATCTAATTATATTAATCAATTTGACCACTTGAGAGAAAAAAAAAAGGAACACCTATGGAGCACAGAGGCGTGTGAGCAGGAGTGAGTGACAAGCTGACGGCTCTCTGCTGGACCACAAGCAAAGACGGGGTCAAGGTTTATTTTCTGGAAGTCTTCTGCTGGTCTCCTTTGGGATAAGGACTGAGGGGCCTGGGTTGTTATTTTCCAGCACATTTTGCTAATGATGAGTATGTGTTCCTCTGCTTTATTGTCTGTCTGTATGCACCCGTTCTCAGATGGCAATTAGTCGGTTTCACTCACATGGCTTCTGTGGGGGTATCTCATTTGCCAGATGAAGTGATGAACTGTAGATTTGGGACAACTCTGTGCAGGAACAAAGAATTTCGGTGGTTTTGCTGTGGGAAGAAGGGCATTGATTATGCTGTCTGTGGAGCGGCGCTGGCATATTTCATGTTTGATGCTCTGGCGGGATCTGGTTCTATTTCATGTGTTTTCATCTGCAGATTTGCTTCCTGTAATGAGCTGGGAAAGGGAGAGGTGGAAGGTTAGGGGGAGAGGCAGTAAGGAAAAAAAAGTCTTTCAAATTGAGATAATCATTTAAAAGATTAATTTACGTGTGGATTTTAGCATGGGGTATTATTGCTATGGGGTGCACGTGATCAAGGGAGGGGAAATGCTGTGTTAGAGACTCTAAACTAAAAGAGCAAAAAAATAAATTGCCAGAAAACTAATGCGGTCATAGACTTTGCCAGCCCTTCTAATGCTGGCTGCACTGTACAACCACCAAATGAACCCGATCCCTTGAAAAGTGATTGTCTAAAATTGCTCTTGTTGACATTGCATCTGCCTGGCAGTGGACATGCCTGCATGCTGCTGCTGTGCAGCAGCCTTGCAGGGCAGGAGCCTTCCCCTCAGATGGGCACACCAGTACCCACAGGGCCAGCCAAGCTCCTCGGTATGCTTTGAGTGGCTGCTGAGCACACACTAGCTTTGCTGAGGCAGTTTTAGGCCCTGTAGGTTGCTGGTTCATGGATGCTTTGTTTCTGTGCCAGTTGTGGTGCCACTGAAGCCAACGCTGGTGTAGGAGCAGTGGGGAGGCTGCTTCTCAGAATCACAGAATCACTAAGGGTGGAAAATACTGCTACGATCACTGAGTCCAATGGTCAGCCCAGCCCCACCATGCCCACTGGCCACGTCCACACAGTTCTTGAACACCTCCAGGCGTGGTGACTGCACCACCTCCCCGGGCAGCCTGTGCCACTGCAGCGCCGCTCTTTCTCAGAAGAGATTTTTCCTCATATCCAACCTGGTGCAATTTGAGGCTATTCGCTCTCATCCTATCACTGTTATCTGGGAGCAGACGCCAACCCTCACCTCGCTGCAACTTCCCTTCAGGTTGCAGAGAGCTCCCCTGAGCTCCTCTTCTCCAGCCTGAACAACGCCAGTCCCCTCAGCTGCTCCCCATCAGACTTGTGCTCCAACCCCTCACAGCTCTGGACGCACTCCAGGGTCTCCACGTCTTTCTGGTAGCGAGGGGCCCAGAACCGAACACGGCAGCGGAGGTGCGGCCTCACCGGTACAGAGGGCCGATCACCTCCCCGCTGCCGCTGACTTGAAAGCCCTGCGGACGGACAGCACCGTACCGCACCGCTCTCCGCGGGCCGGGCCCCGCCGTGGGCAGCCGCGGGGCGGGCCGTGCCGTGGGCAGCGCCGGGCGCCGCCGGATCCCGCCCCCGCGCCCCGCCGAGGAGCGCTCCCGCCCGCGGCTCCTCCTCCTCCACCGCCGCTCCGCCGGCAGCAGTCGGGCCTGACACCCGCGCCCGGCGGCGGGGCCTGGGCTGGGCGGGGGGCGGAAGGGAGAGAGGGGAGGAAGGGGGAAAAAAAAAAAAGCAAAAAAAAAGCAAAAAAAAAAAGCAGCACCACCACAAGAGCCGACCCCCCCGGCGGGTCACATGACGTGACCGGATCTTGCCCGCTCCCCGCCGCGCAACAAAGAACCGGGAGCCCCGCGCCGCGATGGCACCGTGAGCGGCGGCCCCGCCAGGTGAGCGGCCGGTGGGCCGGCGGGCCGGGATACCCCTCCTGTGCACCCGCTGGAGGTGACTTTCTGTGCTCTGCCTCTTCGTGGGGATTTGCGCTGAGCGGCCCCAACCGCTGCGGGGGGACGTTGGAAGCCGATGGGTGGGCGCTGCGTGGGTGTCCGCGGTCACCCGGCGCGTGGTCCCTCGGCTGGCTGCCCCGTGCTGCCCCGCGCGTTCTGCTCTGAGCCAGCTGTGCGCGGCGCTTCCCAGCCCTGCCCGCCGTGACCTTTGGGGCCGAGCTTTGGGGTGATGCAGATTTTTGGCAGAGCACCGTCCGGGTCCGAAGTGCGATCCCCGTTCGGATCGCTGCCGGCAGGACCGTGGCTCGGACTTGCTGACAGCGGGTGACACGAGGGTGACACTGAAGTTTGAGGGCTGGACGCTGGGATGGACGGCCATAGCCGGCCGTCGGCAGCTTTCCATCCCGAATCTACCATCTGCATGGTGCGGTCGGAGGCTGGAGGTCGGGGCGGGGGCAGCCCAATGGGCCCACAGCCCTCTTTGTGTGCATGGCATGGGATGGTGCTGCAAAGGGAGCAGCACTCGCCACATTTTGTTGTTTTCAGTTTTCTTCTTGGTCTGTAACCCCCGCCACCACGATGCTGAAATAACGCACTCCTGGGCATCACCAGCATCTTCTGCGCTTGCCAAGTGGCCGCCCAGCGGGGATTGAACGCCTCCAGGCCTGACTGTGTCCGACTGGGAGTGCCTGTGGGCTGGCGGCTCCCCTTGCACGCTTATCTTGGCTTGTGGGAACGGGGAAGGAACCGCAGCTGCTTCCAGGGGAAGGCTCTGGGTTGGCCACGCTGCTGTAAACCTGGATTCAAAATAAGTGAAACTGAGGGGTGAGGAGGAAAGAAGCAGGGCAGGACGTGCTGTGTGTGCCCCGGGGTCCAGAGCTGCATCAGGGCCCGGGTGGTGCACATCAGGTGGGCCCCGTTGGCAGGTAGTTTGTGCACATCTTCATGCAGATGGGCCTTGAGTTTGTTTATAATGAAAGCTATGAATCTTGCTGAACAGTTAAAGCAGCAAGTGTTCCAAATTTGAGGCGAAGCAGAGTGCAGACAGTACTTATTTTTATTGCTCCTTTCTCCTCCAGCCTTTCTTTATCTGTAGCGCCTATCCTTAATTCCTTCCCTTCACAGCCATGGTGGGGAACCAAAGTGGATTTGTCAGTAGCCAGCTTGGTTTCTACTGATTAGTGCTGAAAATATGACTGTTCTTAATGTAACCAGCTGTGCCGAGAGGGCCTGGAACTGGGATGTGGCAGCATGCTTGGTGTGGGTCGTTAGTGGCCATGGAAGACTAATGACGGGCTGACAACTTGTGTCCTCGAAAAATGAGGAGGAAAGGTTGGTTTCTCCCCTGGAGCAGACAGGAGGTTTGAAGTGAAGATTAGTGTGTCTGTCTGTTCCCTTGGGAAAAAAACACATGGCATATTTTTGAATCCGAGTCATCAGGTAGAATTTATTTCAAGTATTTTTAGGCTCTTACAGATTTGGTGCACTTTGACTGTATGAAACTGTTGGGTAGTCTTGCTAAGGTTTGCTCTGTCTGGTCTCAGAAAGGCATTGAGAGCCTCTGGCTCTCAGGTCTGAGCAGAGCAGCAGTGCTTTGGAAGGGTAGGGGCACCAGCCGTGTAACAAATACCCTGTCTGCAGAGATGCTAAGGAGCGGCGCAAGCCACCCAACCCCTCTCCATGCTGTTGCAAGCATGTGAGTGTGGGAGCAGGAAGGTATGGGGCACTCTGCCTGCCCTGTGGGCTGCACAAACTACAGGGAAAGGGAGCATGCAAGGCTCCTGGCACCAGCCCAGCCGCCTGCCCTGTCCCTCTAAGCTCTGCTGCAGCAGAGGGGCAGCACAGAGTCTAATGTGTGATGTGACTGGTCTGCTCACGTCACTTTGGGGCAGTCACAGTGGGGATGCGTGGCTTCAGAGTGATTATTAGTGTCGGATGACTTGGCCAGGATTGTATAATGACACTGAGCAAGAGATAAAAGGTTTTATATCCCATAAACTTGATTCTTACTCCAGGGTGATCTGCAAGGCTTTTGAAAACGTGTGGTTTGACGGCTTGCTGGTAGCTGCAAATAGGTGTAAACATAAATCACTTGAAACAAGTCTCTGAAAATAAGAACAAACATAGTGTAGACTATAGGCAGGAAAATGAAAAGAAGGGCTAATTACTATTTTTTTCTATTTTTTTTTTTTTAATGACGTTCAATCCTGGAGATAGGGTTCTGGAAGTGACCCGGCAGCTCCTGCAGTTTATTCATTTATTTAAAGAAGCTTTGTAGTTCACCTTGAAAACCACTTCCTGCCATATGGTTATATTGTTTCCCTATACCACATTTTTTGCTAATTATCGAGACCATTTGCTTTAAAATAGGTGTTTTTAATTTCACAGCCTTGTCTGCCTCTCCTGCTTGATCCTGCCCTGGAGTCAAGAGGCTGTGTCTGTTCGTTCTCCATGGCAACGGGTTGTGATTTACTTATTTCAATTTAATTAAAAAGCAGCTATCAAATTCTAGGCATCTTATATGTTCCTTGTATTAGAAAAATATCAGTGGCTTAGCCTCCACCAGCCTCGGAAATGATATTCTCAGCCTGAGCTGCTCATGCCTTCTGCAGTTTCTTCCTTTTGGAACAGTTTGGGAGAGGGAACGGTGCCGTGGCCTGGCTGGAGGTTTGAGGGGATGGGAGGCGTGGACATGGGAACCTGGGCCTGAAGGCCTGCAAAGGGAAACCTGTATGTGGGGCCTGGAGGGGGGAGCCTGGACTCTAGGGCCTGGATGGGGAGGCTTGGACTCCAGGGCCTTGGTGACAGCACTGGGTGCCAGTTCCAAGCACCCAAAAGGCTGCTGGTCCCCTCCTGCTGTCCTACAGCTGCTGGGATGTCACAGGCCACGCTGTGGAAACAGGGGTACCGCAGGCCTTGCGTGGAAGGTGCAAATGGACCGTGGGCTCCATGTACTGGGCTCTCTGCAGTGGTTGCATCTCAGGAGCCATTTTGTGAGGTAGTGCTGGGCTGCAGTGGCAGGGCTGTGTGGACGGGGCGCAGACATCTGGACTTCCTGCAGTGAAGAGGCAGAAAATGGCGGCCCTGCTAGACATGGTGTGGTGTTTACCAGCTGTCCCTATGTGAGAGAGAGTGCAAGTTCAAATCCTTCACGTTGACTTTGTTTCTGTTGTTTTCTGATCCTTCTTGACGCCTATCTGTTCTTTGATGCATGTGTGATACAGCTTGGGTTTTCAAGCTGGTCACAGTAGAGAAGCCCCAGTGCCCTCTTGGGTTAAGTGTGCCTGGTATTTGTGTGTAGGATAGAAATGAGTTTAATCCTGAATTAGTTTTCCAGGGGCCGTGGCTATACAAAAACCAGTCTGTATTGGTCATGGATAAGGAAACAAAGCTGCTGGCCAAAGCAGGGACAGTGCCAGGAGAGGACTTGCAGGGCAGATGGAGGAGTCCAGGAGCATGCGGATTTACTGACCCAGAGGTGATAGGTTTGGTAGTAAACTCAGGCTATGCGATAAGATAGTGCCAAAATTAACACTGCTTTGTCTCCAGCACCACCTTCCTGGTTCTCACAGGGTTGTTCTGCTGTGGTGTGTGGCTCTGGGAGAGCTGGGCACGCTGGGCTGTGCAGCGCTTCTGAGCTGCAGGAACGCGCGGAGGAAGAAAAGTTGGCTGTGCATTTTTATTAAACCTGGAGGAGCAGTTAGCATCAGAAGAGTGCCTGCATATTTTATTTTCCTTCTCTTTAGTGGTTCTACTCCCCGTGCTTTTTCACAGGCGGTTATTTTAACGTCGGGCTCAGGTTCTCGCTCCTCTTGGCCCTGCCAAAGCCCGGGAGGCTGCGATAAAGCGTTGGACGCTCTCCTGGCTGGCAGATCTCCATTGACAAAATGATGTGTGTGGTTTTCAGCTGCAGATTCTTCATTCCTGGTGATCATGCACGAAGCTAATAAAAACAGAATAAAACAAAAAAGCAACAGCCCAGAGCAGTCTTTTGTTTGTTGCTGTATTTAAGCAGATACATTCACCAAATTTACATCCCACTGGTGACATCCTTAACCCTTTATTACTGGTTTTACTGGTGTGCAGGCACGATCCGTATTCTTTCAGTTTGTCTGTTCCTCTTCCTTATCCAGCTTTGAAGCAGACGTCTGTGGTATTAACTTCTATATATACTGTATCTTCATCTATAAAATAAAGGGAAGGTTTCATACAAGCAGCTGTGAAGTTGCATTTATTGTCTGTAAATTGCTTTTAGCGATTGAGCTGAGGAGGTGGAAGGAAAGAAAGACAGTGAAGTAAAATGGGCTTGATTTTTTTTTAATTTTTTTTTTTTTTTTTTTTAAATCGAAGAGAACTGCATTATTTGTTCATCTGATGTAGAGTTGATGGGAAGAGAAAAATGCTTTACCACAACCACCCTGAAACTAATTGTTAAATTTGTAATGGAAACAGACATTTCTGAGCACAGTGATGAAGGCAGCCATCTTGTTGGATAATAAGAGTCCAATTTAAAAAGAGAAACAATTATTATTGAAATCCTGCAGTACTGCTCATATTTTTGTCTGGTTTGGGTCTGTTCAGTTTGAATGTCAGCCTTTACCTTCATGGCTGCCTTCACTCCTGAGTTCAGGTGGATAGACCCTAATTATAGGTAAAACTTTATGCTTTATGCTTATTGGCAAACAAATCTATTGCTGGCTTTCTGGCTCAGCCCCATCTTTTGTGCTGGCACCACACTGTCACGTAGCTGAGGGTGGGTTCTGTTGCAGTCTGGCTGCTGGCTCTGTCCAGAAGGGGAGATTGAGCTGTGCTCTTGTGCCGCTCCGGTGTGCATGAGTTCAGCATGTGCAGCTTTTGGAAAATGGACTTGGTAAAAAATGTATGTGCATTTAAAAGAAAGAAAAGAAGAAAAAAAAAAGCACAGCAAAAAAACATGAATAGTTTTCTCCTGGGATAGAGAACTGAACCTGCTCACCAGGTTCAGGCTAGTACCAGTGCTGCTGCACGGGAGGGGTGAGGTTTGTGTTGCCAGAAGTGAAAGGTGGGGAATGAAGGAAAGGTGGAAATGGGGCCCCCCTTTTTTTGGCAGCGGTGAACTGTTAGTCTCCTTCAGCTGTAACGTGAAACCTCGCCCTCAGCCTTCATTCTCAGCTCCCTCCCTTCCCCTCGCTCCTCTCATTCTTTCCCCAGGATCAGCTCATGTGTGCTTCCAGATGCTGATCCCATTTCCAAGCCGTACTTTCAAAAGGGAAAGGGAAGAGGTTGAGTTTCACCACCTCGTCAGGAAGACAGCCTGTTGCTATTAGGGTATTTGCTAATAACTATTTGCTAATAACTTGAGCCTGAGGATGTTAAATGGCTTAAGGAGCAGTAGCCATATCTCTGCCTCAGGCAAGGACAGCTGTGGGCATTACCACATATGGGAATGGTGGCACGTGGGGCTGAGTTTGGTGCTGAGTTTGGACCGGGGGGTCCTCGAGGTTTGGAGTGAAGGACAAGAGCAGGGTGATGTCTGGGTCCCCCTTTGGTGGGAGTAGCAGCAGCACAGCATGCAGCCGAGATGCAGAGGTAGGGCAGCAGACCAAACCCTGTGGCAAACGACCAAGGGACCTTGCTTCCACTGAATGGCATGAACGGCGTTTCAGCTTCACTCTGCTTTTGTAGACCAGCGTCTCTGTGCCATTCCTTGCTGGTGGCAGGAAGAGGCACGTGCAGCCTGATGAGATGCACGCCCACGTGTGCACTTAGCAGGGGCACGGCATGGGTCAGAGTGTGCGTTTAGGAGATGGGATGGAGACGTCTCTTGGCCCTCAGTGATTGCTTTACAACTACTGGAGCAGATCCTGTGCTGCCTACTGAGTTTTATAAAGCACGGGGGTGAAGATGATGTCACCAGGGGGTTGTTTGCCAAAAGCAGCAGGGTGTGGGGAGCCTTTGTGTGCGTGGGCTGACTGAGTGGCCATACCTGGTGGGAAGGGCAGGTGGCAATTGGTGTGCGGCACGAATTGGAGATGTTTGTGCAGCTGTTTTCAAATAACAGTAGGGAGAGGTGGGGGAATTTGCTCCAATTTGAGAGTTGTTAAGAGATGTTTATCCTTCTGCTCTTTTTTTTCTTTTTTAAACATTTAAGCTTAAATTCTTCTTGTTGGTATTTGAAGACATTATGGGAAGAGAGGGATTATTGTGGGGCTGCGTTGCTTTACAGGGTAAGATTATACACCGGGTGGCTGTTACAGTGGATTTGTGTTCCGGCAGTGGAGTGCATAAAGGAAAGAACTGGTGTATTGATATTAAATAATGGTGCCACTGGATATGCTGAGCACAAAGTGGCTTTGTTTTCAGGGATATGTTTTTATAAATCTGACACGCTTATAAGCCAGCTGCACTATTAAAGACAAAAGAAACACCCCCCTTTATAAGAGAGGGGCAGGATAGAAAATGCTGTAAGTAATCTCAGACAGAGGTATGGTTTTCCTCCATCCCCTGCACTTGTTTGCAGGCCTGGGGCAGGTGTTGGAAAAGGAGCTGCGTGGCCAGGGTCCATCCGGGAGCTGCTACTGCTTTGCCTGATGCTGTGGGCGTCAGTTGGGGGTCACATGCAGGTGCATGAGCTGCTGTTGGCTTCATCTCCTGTGCTGCTCAACCTGGCTCATGGTCTTGGGTGTTACTGGGGCCCTCTGCACAGCTGTGGCACTTGCTCCGGTACCGGCAGGTGACGGCATTGCAGCTGGCTCCAGAAGATGTCCCATTTGCCTTGCAGAGGGCAAAGGAATGGAGGGAGGGCGCAGGGCCCTGTTTGGAGTCGCTGTGTCCTCAGGCTGGAAGTGCTGTTAGAGTTCATATGCTGGGCTGTAGTAATCACACAGCTCTGGGAGAGCAGGGGGAGGAGAGCATGTGAGGGTCACTTCCGACAGATTAGTGAAGGACGGGTATTGCGGTGCCAGCAGAAGACATCCTTCTGTGGAGGTTCCCAGCCAGGAAATACCTAAAAAAGCTCCCTGAGGGTGAGAGGAAAGCCCAATAGGTCTGTGCGGTAATTAATTGCCCAGATACCGCTGCAGGAGCAGCTTGCAGAACGGAGTGGAGAGGGGGAAATGGGAATTTCCTGATTCTCGTAGCAAAGCTTTGACTGCAGAAGGAATTTCAGACAATGAGTGGAAAGAAGAGCTAAGATTAATAGGTAGTCCCATCTTCTTTTGCACTGCCTGCTCCTGGATAGTGTTAGCTGAGCATTGGTTGAATCAGCACGGAGCATGCTTGGGAACTGAAAGCATTAAGCATAAAGAAAGAGTGAATCTGATTAGCTCTGCTCTTCGTGCATTAAGCAGAAAGACCGACTGAAACGTGATTGCAAACAGATAATAGCAGTGTGCTCATGCAGCACACCACGACCCAGCGCATGGGGTGATGGATCCAACCCTGTGATGGAGTTGTTCCTTGTAATTGAAGGCACTTGTTGTTCTGCTGAGGTTTCTGTCGCGTTTTCTCATTGCCCTGTTGTTTGCTGACTGCCATTTGGACTTGATGATCCCTGTGAGTCCATCCCAAGTCTGTGACAGCTCAGCCCTGCAGTGCGTGCCCTGCTGAGTGCTCCGTGTGCTGCCCATGGCTTCCCCAGCCCAAGGGCTGGCAGGAGGGGGTGCTGAGGCCAGAGAGCCCTTGCTATTTCTGCTGGCCCCTTGCTGCCTGCAGGTGACCAGATGCACTTTCCGATGGCCTCCAGCTGCGTGGATGGGTGGCTGCCAGCAGCACATGGTGCGGGTGGGAGGAGGAGGTGTTGATAGTCAGGAAAAATGCTCTGGGTAGCACAGAGGGTAATGAACATCTCCTCTCACCGCTCTCCCCATGCATCAAAGCGCACTTAAAAAAAAAAAAAGTGTTCATCTTTGACCCCCATTAATGGCTGGCTTGGGCTGTATGAGAGTTTTACGAGGCTGCTGCTGCTCCCACAGAGTTTAATTATTTAGTGTGTGAGGTAAAGGCTGGTGCCTGCTGAATCCCAGGGTTCAAGCCCTGCTGACCGGCCCGTGGGGTTGGTTACAGGCGCAGTGGGGCTGGGCGTGAAGCCGTGTGCTACAGGGATCCTGGTGGGACCCTGGGCTGCAGCCACACAGCCCCCAGCAGGGCTGAGCATGTCATCCTCTTGCCATCGCTGCTCTATGCAAGCTCTGTGCCCTGACCTTCAAGGGCTTGATGGCCTGAGAGAGCCCCAGCTGCTCTGCTGCTACCTCCTCCTGCGTGCTGGATGTGCTCTTTTCTGCTCAGCATGGGCCTGTGCCCACCCTTGGGGTGTGCCAGCGGGCTTGATGCACTGTCCCCATTCACCCTGTTCTAGTTCTTCCCACTCCTCTGCCTCATCCCTTTCCTTTGCTGTGGGACTGATGTTCCAAGCTGTGTCGGGAGATGGGGTCGGGCTAAGGTGACAGAGGGAGGGTGGAGGGGTGGAAGGGGATTCCACTGGTAGATGGCACTTAGTGCCACCAACTTATTCTTTAATTTCTGATTATTATGGGCCTAGCTAAATCAGCTGGATCTGCTAGTCAAATGCCAGGTGCTCTGTATCCTATCTCCATATTCTACTCTGTTTTTCTATTTTTTTTCCCTGAAAATTAATAGGATTCTGCCCATTGATGATTAAAACATCGCCTGGAGTTTGGGAATGGATCAGATGCGTCAGTCAAATGCTACCACATTGCACCCAAAGAGAGGAATGCCATCCATCTGGGGGTAGGGTCTGCTTTTTCTTTCCCCCCGTTGGTGTGTAGACTTACTGAAAGCCTTCCTGTTTTGGTTAATGCAAGAATTTGTACTAGAAAATACTAGCTTTCAAAATGGATTACTTTATTGTTTGAGGAATTGCCTGCTTTCTTCTCTTTTTGGTATGGAGCTATGTTGTGCTTGTTATATTCAAAATGTTATTAATAAGCTTGAGTCTTTGTGGGGTTTTGGCAAAGAAAACGTTTCAGTAACTATTTCAAGTATTTGGGGAGGGAATTTTGCTGTTTTAAATGCAAAGTGAATTTATTCTTGATTGCTAAAAAAGACAAAAAATCATTGAAGTTGTTTTCTGAAATGCCAAAGTTCCGTTCATTTATCTCAGTTCTGGAAATCGATGTGAAATGGACCAAACTCGCAACAGGGGAGAAGAGGAAAAATGATCAGTAGGAAGCCACCTTTTTTTATATAAATACTGCTTTACAGGTTTTTGGCTGCTGCGGCAGCAGGTATAGCACGAAACCTGGAAGGAGATAAGAGGTCTGGGAGAACGCAAAGCCGGAGCCTCGCGCTCTTGCAGCGCAGGTTGCTGCCCGAAGTGGCTTTTTGGCTGCCAGCCATGTGCTAGTGCCCATTATCCCGGCTGGCGCGGGCTCGGCTGCCTCAGCAGAGTAGCTGCAGAGACAAAACACGGCTCCAGCTCTCAGAAGCAGGGTGGGCTTCCCAGGTTGGGGAGGAGACACGTGTGAGGGTTCGCATCTGGAAAAAATGCTGCTCCCGTGGTGCTCGCTTGAAATCCAGAGTTGCTGATGTTTCACGTTGCTTTCCCGTTCTCGTTGAAATTGCTTTATGCCTTGGAAAGGAAGGGTCTTAAAACTGAGGGTTTCGATGGAGCTTGCTGCAGAGTGATTCTTTTCTCCTCGGTATGCAAGCTTCCTGAACGAATGATTTTGAAGTGAAGTAATATTCCCCTGCAGGGCCTGCCTCTCTCAAGTCTTTAGACTGTCACAGCAACAGCACGACTACTAGTGCAATATTAATAATTTATGTGTGTCCCTCATTTTGGACCGTTGTCAGTCATTTCAGCCTCGGCAGGCTGGGAGAGATGAGAAAAGCACATCTACGCTTTGCTGCGATTCTCTCTGCATATCTTCTCCGGGTAGGCAAAGGCTTTCAGTCTCCAGAGAGCATCTATCTGGAACCTTTTAGCAGTGCTAAATTTACAGAAATAATACCAGAAAATAGCCTGTCGGTGTCGCGTTTCAGCGATCTCTGTGCACAGCTGTACTGCTTACATTGGACTCTGCAGCAAGGGTGGTTCAGATGGTGGTGAGCTCTGCCTGCCTGTAGAAGGTGAGGGGGGGGTGAGCCCTTTGTGGGTCCCTCCTGGGTGATGGGCCCAGACAGGTTTTACTTCTGTGCTGCAAGCAGCTTTCTTCAGAATTGAGCTTTGTGCCCTTGATTTTCTCTCCCTCAGCCTGTTTTCAGAAGGAGGGAGATAGATGGTCAGAAGGTTTGTGCAGTGCCAAGGTGTTCTTTCTTGCTTGAGGTAAGAAGCAGAGGCTCTGAACGCAGTGAAAACAGCTCTTCAGAAATAAGGCTGATGGAGGGATGTCACTGGAGAACTCAGCTGGTTTACGTACAGAGTGTTGGTGCGCCTGTGCTTGTGCTGAATTCTGGAGCTTGGCTTTGCAATGGTCCGCAGGGAGCTTCTCCTTCACATCCCATTGGAAGCACCATGCTGTGCTGCTTTGAAGGTGCAGTGAGCATGAACTGGTTGGCATGTTTCAGAAGTACGTTTGCAGGTACCGAGCAGCTTGAGCCAGAGAAGCCCACGTGGATTGGTATGTAGTGAGTGGGTCAGTCCTTGGCAAGGAATGAGAGCTCTAGCTCTGATCTGCTGCTGGTGATCCAAGGTGGTTCAGTGCAGAGAATGGGGGTTTCGTGCTGTTGGCAATACGTGGATGGATGGGTGAACGGGCGGATGGACAGGACTTTCTAGTAGAGAATGTTCTGCAGAGAATTTGAGTTGTATTTGAAGCCTGACAGTTTGGCTGTTGAAAGACAGATTTCTAGAATAATTGTTTTGGGGGAAATTAATGTTTCTTTAAAACTGGATTACATTGTTTCAAATTCTGTTTTTGAACATCTTGGCTTGGAAGAAGAGTTGGCTCAAAAATTGCTGCATGTGTGCAGAAGGATCTGCAGAAAGATTAATGGATAAGAAGAAACTTGGTCTAATTGTTTTGTGTTGCATTCATTAAAGTATTTTCATTTGAGATTTGATTTTTTTTTTTTTTTGCCATGATTTGTACCTTTGTAGCTCAAGGCACAAATCCTCTCAGATTCTCTGTAATGTTAAGTCTTCCTGAGAGCTTGTATGTGCAGTTTGAAGGGGAGGGGGGAAGATGTAACTAAGTTAAGATTTCTTGAACCTAAATTATAATATGTAAATCCCAGATTCAGTTGGCTTGGCTGCTGGTGAATGGTTATAGCTCAGAAAGCAACTGAGGTGCCATCTTGGACTTCAGATTGCTGGGTTGCAGCAGTGAGAATTGTTTTTCTTTTGCAGCTGATAAGGGGCTGGAGCCTTACTCCTGAGCCTACACGTGTGCACTTCATTAAATATACACATGCATTTGTAACAAAGGACTTCCTGCAAAGCAGCGCTGATTTCTTCTGCAAAACAGAAAGGATTGGGAAGCTGAATGGAAGACTCTTTTTTTTTTTTTCTTTTTTTTTTCTCCTCCTCTTTACAAGAAGTTACTTTAAATAGGAGCCGTTCAGCAGGTTGCAACCAGAATTCTATAATAAGATCTCCGTTCGCTCTCCCTACTTTTTCACATGCAAAGTTGTGGCGGTAATTATATGACAGCTGCCCTCTTGGCTGACATGCAGCAGATTGAACTGGGGATCTCCAGAGCTAAACGTGTGAGCTGCTACTCTGTGAGCTAGAGCTCCATAGCTGGAGGCTGTAATGATCTATATCCTTCATGACTGAGCGTAGAAGGGAGCTGCAAAAAGCATTCGCTGAGTTATGGTGAATGCATGGTACTCCCAGGGTGTACTGAACCTTTCTTTGAGTGGTTTGTGATAATTGTACAAACCGTTGTCAACTTCGGGGCGCTTTAAAATGACACTCCATTTTGAAGCCTTTCTACCTGAAATTAAATGACTTTGCTATAGCACGTTAGTCAGGCTCAGGCGTTTGCTGCTGTGCGTGCGCCTTGTGCTGAGTGCAGGAGACCCTGATATTGTAGAGGTTCTTGAGCACTAATGCAACATAAATAATTGCTAACGATTCTGAGCGCAACGTGAACAAATCCACAGCTCTGGTGGCGTTGAAACAAGTTCACCTTTGCGCCTCACCGTAACAATGCGTTTGCCATAGATGGCACAGTGGGAGCTTTGTCAAAACAAAGCAAAGGAAAAGCTGGAATTGATGGAATCTTTCCTGTTCCCCGAGGACCAGGAAAACCCGAGCAGTGCCAAAGTGTGTCAAGCTGAGGAAAAATCAATGGAAGCAGAACCATATGGAGCTCCACAAGTAGTGTCAGCCGTGGGCAGCTTCTGTAACCACTGTGTTGGGAGATGGAGGGAAGCGTGTTACAAGCGGAGAGATTCATTTTGAACTTGGGAGGTTCTTCATGCCTCCTTCCCTGCCCCCCTAACAAAAAAACAACGAAGAAGATAGGTGTCTGCTAACGTTAAATGGGGCAAAACACATATTCCTGTAGAACTATGCAGTTCAAAACCAAGCTAATCATTCCATTTTTAAAAATATGAAAACTGGACAGTTAGAAGGAGGTCATTAAACATGAAGTCAACACAAAGTCTTAAAGATCGAAAGCACTAATGCCAGCCCAGTGTCAGAAACTTACATGGTAGCAGCTATACTATTAACAGACATGCTCTCTGCTGTAAATTAAGATCACCTTCATATGTACCAGGCCATGCCCAGTTTCATGAGTGTGGCCGTGCCAAATCATGATTAGTTAACCCCCCTCCACCTGAATTGAATCCTCCACTGCCTTTCTCTGTATGCCCAGAGGATTTGCAGCATGGCCTGTTTCCTCCCTTTCCACATCACATGCCTGTCCTGTCCCACTGCTGCCATCCCATCTGTTGTACTTCAGTGACCTGATGTGGTCTCACCGTCCCTGTGAGCACATGGAATGACCCAGGTTAAACAGCATGGTCTGTGGTGAGGGGAAATGTTGGTGGGTACTGCCCTTGCCAGGCTGTCCTGCCAGCCCTGTGTGCTGAGTGCTGCTGCCTGCCTTGTCACTCCTCACGGAGTCGGTGGGATGAGGCTTGCCCCGCTTCCCCTGGGAGCCCGTTCTGTGGTCTAATAGACTTTACTGTCAGGAAATGTTTCTTGATTGTGCCTTAATCATGGGTGGCAACCCCCTGATCCCCGAGATGACCTTAGCCTGCATCACTTTGAGCTCTGTTCCCACGCACACTGCCTGCAGCCTTCCCAGTGCCTCCTCCTGCACGCGTTGTTCTGGCAGCAGGCAGCGGTGCCTTGGCTCCAGCCTCGCAGTCCAAACACTGCTCCTGGAGGCAGGCACGGGGCTGGGAGCCCACATCAAGGGCCTGGGTCGTGATGCAGGGCATGCTAGTCACTTGGAGCAAGCTGTCTAGAATCCAGGCTGCTGGCAAGCCAGCAAGTAGAGGCTGATGCAGCATTCATGTGCATGTCTACCTTGGATGGAGCCAAGTCCAAGGAATCTGTTACAACACAGCTATCCCCTGACCTAATTACATTGCTGTTAACACACACGTTGTTTCCCATGTGTAGACCACTTGCTGCCTTCCAAGCCTTTTCTCTTTCTTTGTTGCCACTTCCTGAACTCCCTCAGTCCCTCATCTGCCCTTGCCAAGATAGGATGAGTAAAGAAGAGGCGAATACATCTGATTTATATCACATCACTGTGATATCGGGGCTATTTCTGCTCTGTTCCTAGTACCGTCAGACATTTTGCTTACTCTCCTATCTGTCTTTGTGA